TAAGCACACTACCAGTACAAAAATGGTTCAACTGACTTCGGAGCAGAGTTTTTGTAGTCTTAACTTATACCCAGACTCGCAGTATAGCTGAGGTGCAAAACGCTTTTCGAGAAAGGTTTCGTGATCGCAACCACCCGTAAATAGTACAATTTTTTAAAAATGTGCGAAAATACTCGACATTCAGTTCTTTTGATGTTCAATTTATCAGTAATTTTCAATCCGGATCGAAATGTCAAGTTGTCAAGCTGTGTCAGATCAAGTTGTAATTCATTCCTGACTCATGTAAACATTTTAATATCCAGGGTTTGTAAAATGGAATGCTGAGCCATTCCAGATTCAAAGTCAATTCTAACATATGTGAACAGCCCTAATACTCGTACGCAGTGTTAAAAATTAATGGCAAATATTTGTTCATTTTTTGAAGGAACAGCTAAAACAATCTACCATGCATACTGTAATCGCTGTTATTTTGTGCTTAGTCATTTGTGCTTAGTCATTTGAATATTTTTGGGTCGTTATTTTTCTTTATGCTATTAAAGTTATTTTCACATTCCCAGGAGCAGACAATCTTGTGTACAAACGTCAATTCATTTTCTAAAGGTCTCCTTTTTCCAATGTATGCATGCACGCCATCAATATTTCACGCACTACGGTTCAGCATATGTGCAAATGCAATTGAAAAGGCATTCAAATTTTAACAATAGCTTGATTTCTAAAGGTCTCCTTTTTTTTGATACACCCTGTAGAACCAGGCTTATACAATTCAGGAGTTACCTAGGGAGGATCATTGACATGTAAATAAAAGATTTGAATGGCATGATAGTGTCTACGCCAATTTTAACAAGGTCAAGAAACAGTGCTAGTTTGTTTTTGCATCCATTAACAAAAGCGAGAACGGACCAGTCGATAGAGCTCAGATATCTACCAAGTTCTTGTCTTCGACTTGAACGAGTGTCTCTTCGAGTAACAAAGCGACAGCTAGATGTGAGCACAGGTCTTAGTTTAGGCTGCAATAGTAACACTGAATGGTCAGACAAGCCAAATGGTGGAAAGCTCTGCACCGATTTTTTGTCATAAAGATTGGACATGTTCGTAATTATGAGATCGAGTATCTGCTGGCCTCTTGTTGGGGCACTGACAAGCTGTTTCAGTTTGAATTGCATGAGAAGTCAACTGATATTTAAACGATTAAAGTCACCAGTGAGTAAAATTCCACACCCAAGATGACGTCCTTCGATGGTTATTAATGTTAAGTATTCTAACATCGCCTTATCACTGGCACCTTTAGGGTAATGAGTATGGTACACAGTGCCAATAATGAATCAGGGAATTCCTCTCGGTAGTTGTGCTGGTCTGACGTAGGTCCAAAGCACCTCGAATTCGTGATGGAATAAGTCAGTGAGAGCTTTGAACATGACGGAGTTTTTTATATTTTTACATACGGTTCTTTAGCAGTAAATTGAAGCCAGGAACATTAAGGTGATGCTTGCTAACAGAGTCCTTGGTCCAAGTCTCAGTTATTGAAATTTAATCCGGATTAGTATTGTTAGCAAAACATCTTAACTCATCGATCTTTGGTGCAAGAGACATCATATTGGCAAGAGCAATAGATGGACCAAACTCCTTTTTTGAACAATTGCCAGTCCGTATATTTGGTGTACTCAGACCTGGATTTGTAGCGATATCCCCAGCAAGAAGGATGCACATGACTAAATGTACACTTTTAAATACTCATCTGTCAAATACTTCTATTTAAACTTAATTGAAACAGATGAATACTTGTGATAAAATACTAGGATTTGTCAACTCACTTTAATATGCCATTTTTAGCTAATTCTTCCACATTTCGAAAATGCATATTTAAATTGAAATCGCAATATCTCTATCAAAACTGCATGAAAAACGTCATGCTATATATTAAAATTTAATTTAGACATTAGAGAATAACAAACATAACTTTAATTTAATAGCTATTTTAATTTTGAAGTTATACTCAATCAAACAGGTTAACTTTTTTTCCCCACCCGGTATTTCACGCCAATACAGACTTGTGACGACAAAAAATAAAAAAAAACAACAAAACAAAACCAGGACGAATTTTAAACTCTGTCGCTGACGCCGGAGTAATAAGTTTGTAGAAAGAATGTTCAACACACACAAACTGGAACAATTTAGATTCAAATGTTTATACATGTAAAACATGGATATCAATTAACAGAACACCCCACCTATAACAGAAATTTACACTGTCTATATACATGTAGCAAAACAATTAACAGGGTCCCCACCTTTTAGTGAAGTTGAAATTCAAGGACTTTTCCAGAAAATTTAATGGAAAAGACTTCAAGAACTGGAAAAGACTTCAAAAATCACCTAATTTTTACTGTTAAGTTCAACGATAGGGGTTGCAATTAGAAAAAATGGCATCAACAATGTCGCCAATTTAATTAAAATAAATATACTTGTCTCATATACAAAATATGTTCCTCAGTTTAACAGTAATGTAAACGAATTCACAGAGATCAATTGACAGAAATGTTTAACAATTTTTTAGCTCACACAGTTTTTCGTTCAGTTTCTGCTCTACTTGCTTTAGTGTATCCTTCTTTTCTTTAGCACTTCTGCGAAGACTGTTGGACTTTGCAATGAGTGTCAAATTTCCAGTTTTTTCAGCTTTTAATGCTGCTTTGTCTGCTGATTCTTCTAGTGACTTCTCATCTACACATAGCCTTTGTTTCTTTGTCTTCAGATTATCAATTTCGTCTTCAATTTACCTTCTCTTCTCTCCTTTCTCCTTTTCTTTGTTTGCTCGCTTCTGATTTTCAAGCTGAGTGATATACCGCTGTCTTGCAGCAGAGACAGACAACAGCAGACTCTTGTCAACTTCAACATTTTCAATTCCGCCAACAGCTCTTACATGATCACAAACACGTCTTGCAACATACGTTTCATCCTTCATGTTCTCCACTTCAATCTGTCTGTTGACAGAAAATCCTCTCTCAACAGAAGCTTGGCCATGAAGAAGGGGGAAAAATGTTGACCAATCAGGGCGTTTGTTGACATTTTGGTCTCTAGACCAATCAGATTACGTGGAATTTGCAAAATGTAAACAGAAGGAGTGAAATCATAACACCCTGTTCTAAGCCTTCTGCAGCAGTCAATATTTAGTTTTTCAATTTTAAAACACTAGAATCTGATAAAGCAATTCCTTTTCTACAATTTTGTCGTCGGATTTTTCCAGAATCGTCCTGGAGCGAAAATTATTTATGTTTGAATTGTCACGGCATGACCAGTGTAGATCACCAGTCCTGTCTCTAGACTCTACAGAAATTGCATTGTTTACAAACTGATTTCTCTAAAAAATAATGGTTACCAAGACGTTAACTAAATAATATATGACAAAGAGTGTATATTTACATTATAACTAACAAATATTGCTTTGCTTACTTTTTAAAATATTATGAATATTATATCGTATACAGCGGGGAAAAATCGCGCGCTTTTTCCGAAAATGTTTCTTTTTTCTCAGCGTATGCAAAAGGATACTACAAATTGTTAAAGTGAATAAAGTCTGTCAAAATGCCAAAATTTAAAAAGCAATGCAACAATCCGTTTCATAAAAAATGGTCGGGGCGTGAAGGAGAAAAGGTTTTAAATCTAAGAAATCGTGGCCTGCTTGTAATTTCAGTAGTTTTTGAGCAATATGTTAAGGAAGAACTTGGCGAAAAATCGTCTTATGGAATCCAGAATCTATGCGCAACATGCCTGCACAAATGCTTCACGAAACGGAAATTTACGCGATTGCTTCCTAAACAACAAGCCGACGAGTTGAAAAACAACGTGAAAAGCCAGGTATGACCTACAAAAAGCATTAAACTGATCAGTGAACTTGCTGTAATTATCAAAGAAAATCCGTTATTACAGAATGACAACATACTCTGGGCCCTCACATTGTAAATGCCCATACTTTTACATTTTAGAAATAAGTGGGTGGGGTGTGTAGGTGAAGAGCTGAAACCATATAATTACCTTATGGCCATTAGTATGGCCCTCAGAGAAAAAAAAGTCAATTAAGCACACTTGTAATTTAGCTTGTGGTATTGGAATCTTCTGCTAAAAACGAGATGAACAGGCAAGAATCTGAAAAAGAAACTACTGAAGTCAGCTCCCAAGGTGAAACTTCAACGGCTTACATCAACTCGCCTGTAGTTTTGAGTGGTGAAGAAACAATTTCCTGTTGCTCCAGCCAAACAATTGCAATTAGCAGTCAAGAATTGGAAAGCAATTCCAAAATTGTTACAGCCGAGCAAGAGTGCCAAACAGATGATGGTGTTTTTATGTCAATAGACAAATATGAAGAACTTGTAAAAAAGGCATCCTATCCAAATTTCAAAAATGATTTGAACAAACTCAGACCTGTCATAACAAAATTGGCAGAGCCTGAAATGGATCCAGATGTGTTTGAGATTATGTGCAAAGATATTGGTGCGGATAAATTATATTCATCCATACAAGAAGCCATAACATTGGATCCAATGTCTGAAAAGAGAAAAAATCTTAACAAAATGCGCACAATGGTCATAATCTACACCATGTTTATACTCACAATCACAAAAATGCAACTCATTTCAAGTCACGCTATCCAGGACACTGCAGCAGTTTGGAATCAGCAAACAAGGGCTTGAATCTCTACGGAATCTTGGAATTGTTGCACATATTAAGACAGTCAACATATTAACTAAATTAGCCTCTTCAACCCACACAAGTCATGTTGTTACATTCATTACAGATGCAATTAAGAAGAACCACAATATGACTACCACAATATTCACACACAACACCGCCCGGAGACAAAAACCCAGACTCAAGTGGTTCACATGGCAACTTTGCTTTTAAAAGTGTTCCCAGAAATTCAAGCAGTTCCACATCAAGGAAGTGATATACTACCAAAACATCCAGTTGAAATTCCTGATGTGAAAAACTTTATTTCCATTAACATGCCAAAATTAGCTAAAACATATGCTGAAAATATGCCTAGCTGGGCATTATCAAAATATTTTGATCCAGAAGCTGAGAGACAACGACTTCTAATTCATGATTATCAACAAGTGGAGAATCATAACATTACATGCATGGATAACACCAAACTGGTTGACAGCATCGAGTTACCTCTCAAATCTGTAGAAAATGCACTAACAGCTATAAACAAAATGCTTACAAGTGGCTTGGAAATTTATCTTAAGGACTTTATTGCACCCTTTGTTGGGGACTGGCCCATGCAATATTTCATTAGACAGTTGGTTTATTCATCATCTCCCAGTGTGCCAACAGTGTTGAAAAATGTGGTTCCCCTGATTGGTCCACTACATATATCCTTAAATGCAAGAGAATGTGTCTTATTGAATTTTCACAATGTTTTTGCTGACCTTTATGCTTTCATCTTTGGGAAAAAAGCAAAGCTGGCTAAGAAACCAAAACCATGGCGTACATCTCTGTTGCTTGAAATCATTTATGGCGGATGGACATTGATCAGGGATCTTATTCTCTCGATGTTCTACAAAAGCAAAGATATTCAGTTTTTAACACTGTTAAATCTTCTCGACAATTATATCCCATTGGTGTTAAGTATCTACTCAATTAACTTCAAGTGTAACAAATTTGAACTTTTTTTCCAGTCCATACTTCACTGTTGGGTTATGTTTGTAATATTCCGAAGGCGCCACTATAACAAAGCTTTGTTAATAACCCTGTCAACATTTCTTCATTGGCAAGAAAATGCTTCAACTATGCTTGAAACCATTGGTCAACATTTACCTGCATTCGATGAGTATCCAGTGGAAAACTTTCACTCAGTCTTGAGAAAACAAACCAAAGAAACTGATACAGCTGATGAAATTTCACGCAAAGCTAAAGAAATTGATGCTTGCAAGCATGAACTCCATTTCTTCCAATCTGCATTTGTTCCACCCAGAAAGCCAAATTACAGCAGAAAGCGAATTGACACCTTAAAAGTGAAAGCAGCAGAATTCCTCACCCTGAAGTTTGAATCTATTTACACCCACCCTAATTCAACAATTCAACAACCCCAAGCCCCTAGACAGCCAAAACATACCACTAAGTGGAAGCTACCCCACCTTTTTGGTGAGAAGATCATGACAAATAGAGTCCTTCCACTTGGATTTACATCCATCAAAAATCCCCCAAACCCAAACAGGTAAAATTATAAATTAAAATTCAATTGACTGAGCCATGGATGATGCAAATTTTAGGGTGATTACATTTACAAGCCAGTCAGGGTGAGTTTAGCCACCCTACTGAAATTTATAACAGACAACATAGGTATTAAATAATATAACCAAAACACATGAATATAAGCTCACAGTTTGCAACGGTGGGCTCCTCTGCCCTTAAGAGTCATGTCTTATCGTAATATAGGTAATAATCTCCTGCAAATTTTGCCTGACAAGCAAAGTTTTTATTAAAACCTGTACTAGTTACTAAATTGAAATTATATTAAGTCTTACTTTATATATTCCCTGTCATAGAAAGTGCGATTTGATCAGCTGCGAAAGAGTTAACCCTCTCTGGAACGTTTTCCGCGGATGTGGCCATTCATTTCATATCGAATGCCTTCTGCCAAATATTAGCAATTGCCCTGTTTGTGAAGCAACGTTGCTGTCGAGTGTTCAAGATCTCGGTACGACTGCAAATAATGCTGTATTTACTCCAGCGACCTACTTTGAACCCAGTGAAGATGAAAACGATGAGCAGAGCGACGACAGTGATAGCGATGTTGGAGAGACCGAAGACGAACAGAATAAAACAACTGTGGACGAACTGCTGCGAAAAATAAACCTTTGGCAAAGGCCATCCTCTGCATTGCTGTGAAAGGCAGAAATCGCAAGGGTAATACAGGCCTGTAAATTCCAAGAAGTAAACCGGATGTATACCTACACTTTAGTGGGGCGTTTCCGCATAAATTACGCTCGAGTTTAAAAATACAATGTCAAGGATTAAGTTTTTTTTTCATAAATCGGTTTAAATCGAACCCGGCACTCTTAAATCTCAAATTTGATCGTCTGTTAAAACACGACTTTGTCCAGATAATTCAAACATAAATAATTTTCGCTCCAGGACGATTCTGGAAAAATCCGACGACAAAATTGTAGAAAAGGAATTGCTTTATCAGATTCTAGTGTTTTAAGATTGAAAAACTAAATATTGACTGCTGCAGAAGGCTTAGAACAGGGTGTTATGATTTCACTCCTTCTGTTTACATTTTGCAAATTCCACGTAATCTGATTGGTCTAGAGACCAAAATGTCAACAAACGCCCTGATTGGTCAACATTTTTCCCCCTTGTTTTGGCCATGTGATAGCAAAAGAAGTTTGCGGCACAAATTTCAGAGCTTTTCATAGTTTTTATCCTTGGATATCAGTCCATGCAACAGAGTATCTACCCCTTCAGTGAGTGGATTGAATTCTGAAAATAAAGTGATTGCCCTCCACAATTTCATCAATGAATCGCATGTATTGTTGAATCATCTCATCACAATCCTCTTCTTTCACACGTTTCTGGCTAGCAAGGTACATTAAGGACCTTTTCAGCCATTTAGTGCACAGCTCTTTTGTTTCTGGGTTACACGTCCTCCGAGGATCCAGGAATCGGAGATTGGGCACAAGAGAATATTTCAGTGGTGATTTCTCTAGTAGCTTCTCAACAATGGATTTCAAGCATTTTTTACATGCTATTCTGAATTCAAGCACTTGTATCTGCATTGCTTGTTTGTCTGCAAACATCTGCTTTGTGATTCTTTCTGCACTGAAACCCACATCCACTTTGGTATGATTAACATGATTCGCATTTGCTTTTACATCAACATCAAGAAGCTTGTCAACAGACTTGACATCCTGCATTATATTTGGCTTCATAAACCTGCACATCAAACTCTTCAGTAACTGGTACAAGTCCTTTGCAAAGAAAGGCACCATTGGCTTATCTGTCTGATAGAGTGTTAAAAAAGGTGTTACCTCCTTGCTCACTGAAAGCAAAAAGTTGATTCTAGCTACCATCAGTGAGTCCTTGACTGTTTCCTTGATCTTGTCAAATGATTTGGTGGCAGGATCTGGGAATTTTTAGCTTTTTACTGCCTGAACATATTTTAACATGTCAGGAAGGACCTCCAATGCCCTTTCCAAAACAGGCTTGTTTTCCACCCACCGTGTTTTGCAAAATTATTAGCTTTCAAGAGAATTGTTTAAAAAAATTTAGATAATTTTCAAACATTTTACTTACATTTATAATGAGTGACCTTGATGGGGGCATTTACACATAATTGTTTCAGTTGGTCTCTACACAGTTTTTGTATAGGAGTGTCATCAAATTGCAACAAAAATGAACAAATCACATTTCTCTCCAAATTTGGGGAAAACATTAAAAATGACAACTCAAAGGATATTAAAAGATATAATCTAATGTTACAAATATCTTAATGAGTAATTAGCCTTCTCACGCCGCCATTTTTGGGGAACTTTTATGTAAAACCAATTATGTAAAACCACCTGATGGCGACATATTATTTTTGGGGCATTTCATGGTAAATTTGCTCTGTAAATGGTTAGTCTATTCTGAAAGTTTAAATTCATTTTCGAACTAGGGATCCAAGGATAGTGCAAAGTTTTCATGCCCTGTAATACCTAAGCAACTGTACGTTTGTCCCAACGTAAACATTTTGACTTATGCCAGTAAAAATATAATGAACTAGGTTAAACATTAACCAAAAGGAAATTACTCAAAGTACTGAAGTTACGTTAGCAGCGGATACTGTCACTGTTAAATTATAATTTTAGTTGCCCATGTAAACTGGCCTAACTGGGCTTGATTTTCTCAGTTTACTCTCTTTTCTTCGTTAAACAACTGTCACTTCATAAGAATAGTCAAAATAGTTGCCTTGTAAATAATGTAAATAAACAGCGCTGCATATTATGTCTATGATGTGGATACTTTGACGCGTAAATCATTACAAACAATATGCTTGTAATCAATACTGTATACCGCCCAAATGTTTGTTTTGTATAGTATCATTTGTGTATTGTATTCAGAATATCAGGTATCGACTTGCTATCGACATAATATACATTCATGTAAGAGATCTATCAATACATAAACATCACAGGATCGTTTCTTCCTAACCTCTTAGCTCTATTTATGGAATAAAACTTACAAATTATATTTGTGTTGAATGAGTGCTTGTAATTTGTAACATAGGTTGATAAATTGTGTAGATTCTCAAAGAATTGCTCGATTTTTACGCCCTGAATGTTTTTGCAATGCTTGTCGCTCCTCATTTTTTTACACTGTGAATAATGTTCAAGTCTCGACGGCACATGCACAGCTGCAACGTATAAGAAAAAATCAGGTGTTATGGGGGTAATGCTGCGCAAATCTTTTAAAACAAAACCCAAACAGCGGAAAAGCAATGCTTCAAAATTTACAGTAACCATCAAAATTCCTCAATATTTTGGTGAACTTTGCAAAAGGGATATAGTGCATTAATAAATAAAGCAAGTTGAACTGATTTAAAAACTTTAAATTACTGATCATATGCAAAAAGTTACTATACACATAAATCAACATACCCTCTGTAAAGTTTACACTATGACTGACTGACTTACTGACTCGTTTGAATTTTCGCCACTCATCACAATACTGCAAAGTTTCTCAAACTTTGCACTAAAAATGAAAGTACCCCAAAAATGGCAGTGTGAGGAAGGCTAATTCCAGAAAACATCGATATCTTCCCCATGGCACAAATTGTCCTCTTGCCTGTTCAGGATCAGGGGCGGATCTAGGATTTTTTTTACGTTAGTCAAAATTTTCGCAGGTCAATACTATGTTTACAGAGTAAGAGGAATTTTCGCTCCCCCCCCTAGATTGATGAAATTAGTTATATTTCACAGTTTACTAGCTGATTCGATATAAATCACACCTTTATTGTATTGAGCTTGGTCAAAGCAAAATTTGCTTTATAAGTTTATAGCAGAAACACGCGGGCCACATAACAAGCATTAATATACAATACTATTAAACATGTCTGGATTTTATTTCTACGGTGCAGACATATAAACATACAGACATAACATGATTTTACAAATATTCATATTCAAAATTCAAAATCTATCACACTTTTAAATAATACAGATATAACACACCAGCTCACGCTCAGCTAATATGAATAAACAATACAACAAATGAGAATATGAACGGCTCCAAATTCTAAATATTAATATAATTTTATGACATTTGACCGGCGGCGGGCGAATGCAAATAAATGCTAATAAAGGCAGCTTCAAAGTCCAAGTGAAATATACAGCTTATGTTATCGTTCGGTTTATAGTTTATATTAAATTATAGTATTATCGGAGAATAGTTTCAATAAACATGAACAGAGAGTGAATATTAAATTTACCTTCGCGTAGAACACTCGACATTACACTTCTCAATTCGTTACGCAAACGAGTATATTATGAAAACAAACCTCCATAGCAAAATTACTCGACAACATGTTATCAGCAATGGTTATCAGTGCCACAAATAGCGTCCGTTGCAAAGAACTGTATTCGACTGCTAAAGCTTTCTCTGCATGAAGTCATCCGGAAAGCTCAAAACGAAAGCTCACAGGCACACCTCCAGAACGAGCAGACCAAACCCCCAAAACGAGCAGACCAAACCCCAAAAACGAGCAGACCAAACCCCCAAAACGAGCAGAATTTTTGTCTCCATGGAAACTACTGAATGGGCCAATCAGATTGATGAGAAACGCCCCTAACCAACCTCCAAAACGAGCAGACCAAACCTCCAGAACGAGCAGAATTTTTGTCTCCATAGAAACGAATGAAAAGATTGCGCAAGTCTGCATTCAGGAGCGAGGAAATCGAATGAGATCAGTGTTTATTTCATTTAATAAGCGCAAAAATTATTATGCGACTGTACAAATTTACAACAGGACTGCGATCTGAAAAATATAATCTCACTGCATTCAATTAGTGCGAAATTTTTACGTTAGTCGCGTGATCGGTGTGACTACCCCTAGATCCGCCCCTGTTCAGGATATCCTAATACTCTAACTATTGTGAGAAACTAATTTTTCTCCTACTCTCCTCAGGATATAACAGATTTCCTCTGTGGGAGACAGAGTGTGTATATTTTCTGGAGTGAGTCAATATTAAACTAATAAATAAATATGAGTAATACCATCATTTTCATTCTTACTCTTGATTGGGGTGTTCTATAAAAAAGTAATTATTATGTGATACTTTACACAATCACAAGCAAATTCACATGTTTTGGAAACTTATTTTTCAGATCATAAAGCACTATGTGCTTTCATTAATTGTTTTGATTCAGTGTGAGAGTTGGGTACTCTTTAAAGAGCAGATATTTCAATAGCAATAAAAATACTTTAGTATGGTGTAAATATTTGGGACTAGATAATTTACAATATACTTGAACTACTATATGTATAGTGAAAAGAACTTTTTTACCAATTTTTAAATGTCCTAACAGAACTGCCAGGTAAGCATATTTTTCATATTTATCCCCCTCCTTTATAGTTGCTCCGTACTCTGTGTTTTATTGTCTTGTCTTCTGACATGAATCTTTTTGTTTCTACTGTAGGTGAATGCAACAGTCATAAGAATGTACTGGATATTATCTGGATAATTTCACAAGAACAGCTCATTAGTATGGCCAATCCTGTATATTAAGGGATGGACGTAACATCTACAGTAATCCTACATATTTTTTATCAAATGGATACATCTTATCAATGGTATGCAATGTGCAGAACTAAATCTATGCTATACATATTTGGTATGTGTTAAATACTGCTCAATATCCAATATATGTGAC